TCGGTTCTTCTATTCTTCAGTCTGGCTCGCCTTTAGTCCTGCCAGGTATTCAGGAGAGTGTTGAGTTTCCCTGCGATACACTGTTCCTCTGTGTTGTAAACCACAGTCCTTATTTTAAGGCAGGCTGGACTTTTTCCTTGGCCTGCCTTATTTTGTATTTAGCAAAGAATCAGTTTGTGGCTCAGCCTCTGGGTGGCAGTGTTCTGGGCTTGGCCTCTGAGGCTATATGGCATTGAAAATCCCTCTATAGGCCAGGCCCTGTTAACTCCCAGGGGCTGATTAGATTATTTTAATCCTTGCTCTCATTCAGGGTGGAATCTGGGTGTGGCTGTGCTCCTTGCCTGGGGGCTGGGGGGAGGAGTCTCACTCTGCAGAGAGAATGACTGCCCCAGTCCTGGGCTAAGGGGCGACTCAGCACTCAATTCGCTGGTCCCCCCTCTCTCCTCAGTCTCTCCCCAGATTCCAAACCTCCGCACCTTTTCCCTCTCTTCAGCACGGTGAGTGCCCGTATCCAAAATGTCCCATGAACAGGATTCGGCGAGAATAAACAAACAAACGCCGGCCACGGAAACGGGGACGGCTTGGTTTCTGTAAACTCTTCAATTACGGGCACTGATAGTCAGATCAGCTCTTCAGGCTGCCCCTTTTAGGCTCAGTCCTCCGTGCTCACAGAACCCAGCTCTCAAATCCCCCGGGCGGCGCCAGGAATCCCGCGGCTCTCCCCTCCCCAGTCAGGGGCTGTGCCTGTCCCAAGGGACGTGGCTGTCTGCCACGCGGTCTCCCTCCAACCGTCTGGGCTCAGAGGGCCGGCAAATTTTCCTGCACAAATCCCTGGGTTCCTTTTACCTTTCCAGGGGAGTTCTGCTCTTCCCGGCTGCAAACCGTCTCACCAGCTGAGCCCTTTCGCCAACTCGGGGTGGGTGCTATTAGTTTCAGCTGCTCACTCCATTTGCTCCAGAACACGACCTGGGACGCGTCTGCCTATATCGCCGCAATCTTCTAGAGCACGACTGTATGTGTTTTCTGATGGTCTTAGGCGACGCTTGTGAAAGGGCCGTTCAATCCCCAAAGGGGTCGCAACCCACAGGTTGAGAACCACTGCCTTAGAGTATATAATACATGCTATGTGTGGGTTCATGACAGCTTATGAGAAGGTTAGAAGCTTACAACAGTACATGTTTATTGTCTGATATTATCTTTGGATCAGGAATTGGGCATGTCTTAGTTGTTTCCTTATCTGTGGTTTTATAAGCCTAGAACCAAGGTCTTCACCAGCCTGCTTTCTCATCAGAATCTCAGAGTTCTATTCCAAGCTCATTCAGGCTGTTGGCATAATTTAGTTCCTTGTGGTTGTGAGACTGAGGACCTCAGCTCCCAGAGGCCAGCCCTCTTTGTTGCCATTCTGAAAGCTGTGAGGAGTGAGGTGGTATCTCATTGTGGTTTTATGGTTACCCCGATATATTCATTCTTAGTTACTCCATTAGTGACATCTAAATTTACCCAATGGGGTTATTTTACAATGGGGTCAGGACAGCTTATCTCGAGATATTTGAGCATCAGTTTTTGCCTCTTGGTCATGGTAAGGACAGTGAACTAACCAACCAACTAACTAACTAACTAATTATTTATGGTAAGGATTTTTTTTTTAAGTTCAAAAGACTCAAAGGCCAATTTGTTTATTGATAACTTACAGTGGAGATAATTGGTTAGACATCCTGTCTCCATTATTATGACCAAACTCTGCAGGAAACTTCTGCCTCAGCTCTCCTGAAACCAAATTTCATCACATAAATATCAGATCAAATATCAGCAGTTTTATCCAGAGAAAAATTATCTTTGTGTAAATAAGAATAACATTGGGAAGTTTATTCCTGGATGTTTCTCAGTCCCCAACTCAATTGAATTCTCTTTCACCTGCTGTATCGGACGATTTTCCCTTATTAAAAGCATTATATAAGTATGCTCATTGGTGCCTTATCATCTCTTTACATATTTGGAAATATTGTAAATATTTACCCACCCTTTACATTTCCGTAATTTTGGAGTTTTTGAATTTTTTCTCTTTGTATCTTCAAAGCATTTTATAAAAAAATGAATCATAAATGTTTTTAGCTTTGTGGGCTAGTCTCTGTTGAAACCCTGCCATTGCAGTGCAAAAAGAAAACATAGATAGTATGGAAATGAATGGTTTAGCTGTGTTACAAGGGAATTTTATTTAGAAAAATAAATGGTGGGACAAATTTGCTCCACAGGCCATAGTTTGCCAATTCATGTCAAGGTGTGTGAAATGAGATTATATAGGCACCAACCCTACTCTCTACATTGCCTTCTCCTTTCTTAGGTCACATAGTAACAATTGTAAATGTACTTATAAATTTCACAGTTCTCAAAGAGGTGTGTCTTATATTATCAGTCTTTGTTTATTATAAAGGTGAAAATCCATAAAGTGTGCATTACAGCCAAATGCTAGATGTTCACCAATGATTCCCACTTTCAAATTCATGTAACTTTGTATAAATTCCTCCCACGTTGTCTCACAGTTGATATGTGTGACCAGTGAAAGACAGTGGAAATGATGGTATTCCACTTCTGAGTCTAGTTCATAAAAGGTGGTGTGGCTTCTTCCTTCTTTTTCTCTTTCAGGTCATTTGACACGGGAATGCCAGCCATCATATCAGCAGCAGCCCTGTTGAAAGGACCATGTGACAAGAAGCCAAAACCTCTTTGTTGAATTGTACACTTGAAACCTTATGGTTTTGTGAACCAAGGTCACCCCAATAAATTCAATTTAAAAAGAAATATAGTCTTTTTTAGTAGCTCTGTAATGAGTATGTCTTGCAAGCCAATTTTCCAGCTCTACTCAAGCCTTCAGATAACAGAGTCCCAGCTATCTTGACAGTCACCTAATGAGAGAACCTGAGTCATATCCATCCTAAGTTGTTCAAGGATTCCCAACCCTCAGAAACTGCGATATAATGTCTTTATTCTTTGAAGCTGCTATTTGTTGGAGCTAGTGGTAGACTCTCAGTCATAAAGACCTATATTGAACTAACCGGTTTGGCTCAGTGGATAGAGCGTCAGCCTGTGGACTCAAGGGTCCCAGGTTCGATTCCGGCCAAGGGCATGTACCTTGATTGCGGGCACATCCCCAGTAGGGAGTGTGCAGGAGGGAGCTGATTGATGTTTCTCTCTCATCAATGTTTCTAACTCTTTATTCCTTTCCCTTCCTCTCTGTAAAAAATCAATAATATATATATTTTAAAAGACCTATCTTAAAAAAATAAAAGGAAACTTACAAAAGCAAACAAATTATTATTGAAAGAAGTCAACAATTTCCCAAAGTTCATCCTCCTAGAAGTTTCATGCTTAAAAATTTCTTTTATATAGTCATTACTCTTCATTTTGTTTTCAGTAAAGTTGGCCCCATTCCAGTATCCAAATTGGGCCCCAACTGATTCACATCAATCATTTGTTTTATTCATCAGCCACAGTAATTTACATCAAGCCTAGTTGTTGTTAAGAAGATGAAGATGAGTCCTTGGATGTCCTTTACAAGAACACAAGGAAGATAAGATAGATACAAAATAATTTATATTACATTGTTCTTGTTATACAAATTTCAAAACCAGGCAAAACTAAACTATAGTTCACATTAGATGTGAAGATCATGTGAGAGGTAAAGATGGTGGTATGTATGGAAAGAGAAAGAAGATGGTAACTGGAAATTTATAGGAGGAAAGATCTTTGTGACCCTGGAAATTTTCTATTTCTTGACATGGGTTTTAGTTGCATGGGTTTTGAATCTGATGGTCATTAAACTGTATGTTTTTATTAATTTTAATATATAAATTACATATATATATTAATATATTTTATTGATTTTCCACAGAGAGGAAAGGAGAGAAATAGAGAGTTAGAAATATCGATGAGAGAGAAACATCGATCAGCTGCCTCCTGCACATCTCCCACTGGGGATGTGCCCGCAACCCAGGTACATGCCCTTGACCGGGATCAAACCCGGGATCCTTGAGTCTGCAGGCCGACGCTCCATCCACTGAGCCAAACTGGTTTCAGCGATATATAAATTATATTTTATTCAAAAGGGTTAGAAGAGACAATGTAGGTTGAATTTTTTTGTCTTAAATAGGTTTCGATATGAGGCAGGTCTTGTATCCATTTCTCACTTTATTGTAACCAGAGTTGTGTATTTCCAAGCCTTGCTCAAATTTTAATTTTAATATGAGTCCTTTTTCCTCATTTCTTTCTGAGGAAGTATCTCCTTGCTCTGTGACTTTGTTCTATTCAAGAGTGGATTAGAGAAAGATTCAAGTATTACCTCATTCCTAATGATACACAAATTTTAATCATTAGCTGGGGTCTCTGTGATTGTCAGAGTTCCAGTGTATTTCAGCTACAGAGCAGAGATGAGTCAATATTTGCTCAAACCAAGTATCACAATATCACCTTTGGGGGACATTGAAAAATACTTCAAAATTAAGCTGAACACATTTGTTGTTGTTGCTGTTGTTAATTCTAAGCTGAGGATATTTTGTCCATTAGTTTTTAGAAAGAGTGGAAGAAAGGGAGGGAGGGGAAGAGAGAAACATCAATGTGATTGATTGCCTCCTACACGTGCTCCTACTGGCGCCTGGGATCAAACTTGCAACCCAGATTCGTTCCCTTGACCGTGAATCAAACCTCATGACCTTTTGGTGTGTAGGCTGATGCTCTATCCACTGAGGCACACTGGCCATGGCTAAGCTGAACACTTTTAATTTGTTTGATATTGAATGGACTTTTGAACAAATTATCTGGTTACTACTTTTCTTTGAAATACTCATTATAAAACTGACATAAGTGTCTTCAGAAATTATATGAATAGCATAAAATTGAAGTTTTTGGTAAAAGGTTATAAAACACTTGGGTTAATATATAAGAAATAAAAATAAGTCATCTATACTAATAAAAGGGTAATATGCTAATTAGACCAGGCATCTTCTGGACGTCCTTCCAGACAAAGTCACAGTGGCAGGTGCCAAGGCAGAGGTGGTTAGGGGTGATCAGGCTGGCAGGCAGGTGAGCAGTTAGGAGCCAGAAGTCCCAGACTGTGAGAGGGAAGTCCGACTGCCAGTTTACTGGCAGTCAGATATCCTCCGAGGGGTCCTGGATTGGAGAGGGTGCAGGCTGAGCTGAGAAACCCCCCTCCCCAAGCATGAATTTCATGCACTTGGCCTCTAGTTTATTAAATATTAAGCTATAGATGCCTGTGTTTCTGTGAAAATGAAATCATCTAAATCATAAATAAATATATGTATTCAGTAGTCTTACCATTGGTACATCATTTAAGTAAATTTAATGAGTTCATTTTTTGTCCTTTAGGTAATTAGAGATAAAATAGGCCATCACAATTCTAATACATAGCTTCATTCATGACAGTAAAATTTCATTTGTTTCCATTGCTTTATTCAACAAAGTTGAATCATAATAATTTTAACTCATCACTTTCATTTGGTTTAAATTAATTAGCTTGTTCTATGTCTCTGAAATAACATGTGGGAGGCATAAAAATAAAAATTAATCTATCCTTTTAAGAAGGAAGTTCTTGTTATGGCTGCATTCTAAACCTGTGCTGAGTACACAAACTATAGCACATACCCACAAAGATGTCTTGAGATGGAGTCTCTAATTACTTAGGAAGGATGTGTGGTTTAAAACATTTAAATTCTAACCTCTCCTAAGAAAAGTGCAGTTTGCTGGTTATTCGTTCTCTATAACTTAATGTGAAAAAGTAATAATAAAAAAAAGAGAGAGAAATAAGCCATGTGATTTGGTGCATGAGGATAAATGGCTGAGTCTGATGGAATACGTTCACTTCATTTAAAATGCTATGTGCTTAGAGTTGCACAAGCAACAGTATATAAACAAATCTTGTGTCATCGGGGCTGCAAGGAGAGGGATTCATTTCCTGTGTCTGACTCTGTTCCCAAGTGGGACTTTAGGAAGTCCCTACCCTCTTTGAACTGGGTCAGACACTCAGCAGCCAGTTCTGGGAAGATGGCTCTGCTTTCTCTCATAATTTAAGTGTCTCATAGTTTGACTGTTCCTCTGCTTTTTCTGAGTTTAAGCGAAGGTCTCAGCAAGCAATTCAAGGTTCATAGAATTGCACTACCAGTAAGCTCTCAGGGTGCGAAATTCGAGACAGGAAAACAAAGGACACAATAGTAATTTATCTCTATCCAGATTTCCCCAGTAGGCTCAAAGGATGAAAGTGTTCTTGTGCCATATGTGTTTTAACTTCTGTTCACTTGTAGGCTGGTGTGTACACACACACACACACACACACACACACACACACACATCTCTATTTCATTATCCTATACAGTGCAGGGAGTGGGGAAAGTGATGAAGTCAAAACAATTATATTTGAAAGAAATAGCTTATTTAGCTGTTTTTTCAGGAAAAACTCAATACTTATATGACTGAAAACAGAAGTTCTTACATTTTAACAAACCCTGCTCATTAATCTGCCACTAGAAGGCAGAGAAACACATCAAAGTCTATTTTATCTCACTGTAACAAATATCATATAAACAAATTTTAAACCATTCATATTAGTAACGATTCAATTTAGTTTTCTACTTTAAATAAAAAAGAAAAATTATTTTTTAAATCTCCTGATTTTATTACACGCAATTTGAACCTCTTGCTTTGAAACCATGGTTCACAAAGTGATTGCTTTCATATTTTCCCAAGAGAAACAAAATCTGTGCCCTGGTCACTTTTGTTCAGTATTTGTTTTTTACTTTTTCTCTTGGGTTTTCTTTTCTTTTTTTTTTTTATGTTTCTCAGTAAAGGAGTTACTCACTTGTCCTTTTTTTTCCTGATTAATTCAGAAAATTTGTTCCCTAAATATCATGAGTTGTAAAACTCACTTTTATGATAATGTTGCACATATATCTTAAGAAAATTGAATTGATATTCTTATTTCGCATTTAATTGTATCTTTCGAACACTGAAAATCCAAATTAAGGTACATATCATTTGATTTTTACTATTTTACCTTGGAATGAATCAATACAGGATAATGAAACACCTTCATTTATATTTCCAGGTATAAGGACAATGTGACCATCAAACCAAAACCATTTTACTTTAGAATAAAGTGATATATAAGAGAAATAAAATTAAGTTATATGATAATAGATGCAGAATATGAAAACCATATTTCAAAATATTTAAAGTCTAAAATAACATAAATTATACTTCTTGGAGATTTGATTTTTATTTCATTTTATTATCTATTTTTTTTTTTTTGCCAAAGGGAACCCTGCACATGCTTTAAAAATCCATAATACAGAAGTACTTATTTTGAAAATCAACAATTCTTTTTCCTACTATTCTTACCCTGGTTGGCCCCAAAGGGCAAATAATTCTCATTCTGGGTTTCCTACTTTTATCAACTTCCTCTGTAAAAATATAGAGAGGGTGTTTTATTATTTCCATTCAAGGATGAATTTTGGACTTCTTTTGTCTAACCAGACCAAGTTTCAGAAACAGTCTTCTCCCTGACCACAGGGTTAGAGCCTGTTCTTTAATTTCTTGATTACTATTATTCCTTTTCTCATGAGGTCTTACAAGGATTATTGGAATTGCAAGAAACAGTGTTGTCTGGTGGTCTTAAACAGGACGATGCCAACTCTTCCTACCGGGAATTATCTCCAGATAATGACAAGAACAGCTAGAATATGCCATGAGAGCAGAAAGTACAT